GGCGGCGTCTCCCTCTCCACTCCCCTCCCCCGAGCGGAGGGATCCTGGAGATCCCCTCTGGGACTCGGGGCCACCGAGTCTGTGCGGTTTCGGAAGTGCCCGAACCTGACCCGGCGCTGCCACCAGCTCGCTGTGTGACCTTGGGCAAGTCCCTTCCCCCCCCTGGGCCTCAGTTCCCGATTTCTGAAGCGGAGACGTTGCAGTCTCATATGTACATGAGTTGGATTCCAGATCCTGTCTGAGATCTTGGGCAAGTTCTTCCTCAGGCGGAGCCTCAGTTTCCATCTATGGGCCATGAAGGAATTGAGGTGCTTTTTGAAACGCCTGGCCTGCTAAGTTGCCGAATGGCGGTTGGACTGTGCATGTGTGTATGTGTGTGTGTGTGTGCGTGTGTGTATGTATGTATGTATGTGTGTGTACGTATGTGTGCAGGGCGGTGCTGCAGAGTAAGGATAGTGGCCAAAGGGGCTTTTCCACGAAGACTTTGGACAGACCCCAGAGTGTGATGGAGTGATGTCTCCGTCCTCTAGGATCCTGGAGCCTCTGAGATGGGACGTAATACATAGTTCTCCATAAAATCAGAAGAGGAAGGAATCCTTGGCGCCTCTTGGGGCTGTGATTGAAATTTATGCCCCAAAGAATTCAGGAAGAGGAGGAGGAGGAGGAGGCGAGAACATGCATGGCCCTCCCGACTGTGTGTCAGACCTTTAGGCATCTATTCTTTCATTTTTTTACAGCTACCCTTGAGAATTTGCACATAAAGAAAACTAAGTGAAGGAGTTAAGTAACTTGCTCAAGATCGCCCAGTAAGGTGCAGAGATTACCAAGGATAAGGTGTTTCCTTTGAGGCTCACTGGGCAGTGGGGAGGTCTCTGTCCACGTCCAAGAAGCTTGCTTTGCCACAAATGGGGTGAGGGGTCTGGTCCCAGACACTTCTGGCATGAAGATGAGCTGGGTCTTGATGTCCCCTTTGTTCAGTCTGTGAGTAGTTGGAAAAGACCATTTTTCTAAGTTGTCAGCGTCACTTGGAAGTGTGTTAGAACTCGGGAGAGCTCGGTTTGCATCCTGGCTGGCTGGCTTGTAGAAGCAAGTTCACCCACGATCTATGGTGGGTCGGCTTCACGCTGGTTTCAGAGTGCTGCCAGCCTGGTGAATTCCCTCCTCCCCATGAAGGCCAAGTTTTCTTGGGACGGAAGAAATTTCCCATTTGTTAGTTCAAATGTCTTTGGATTCTTTGAGTAAAAAGTTCAGTAGCCTTCCTCCGATGAAGCATGTTTCTTTGTGGTCCCTGTTATCAGAGTCCTAGCTGATGAAAGATTGTGGGCCTAGATTGGGAGGTGGCTGGGTACTATAAATTGCAGCCCTTAAATTTTCCAAACCTCAGAGCTTTCGGTTCATCAAAATGGTAGGATTGTCAATGTGTATTGTTCTCGGATGTCCATGGTAGGGAAGAAAATTGGAAGAGGAAGTTGCAGAGAAAGAGGGCGTTTCTTAGCAGTGGAGCCAATATGTATTTCTTTGTTTGAAATTGTAAAACCAGAAGGCAGCAACTGCGGGAGGAAGGAAGGAAAGGACTGTGAAACTCCCCCCCCCCTTCAAATATATGCAAGAGCTGTCCCTGCACGACTCTGCTTTTACAAAAAAAATCAAATTGTCATGTGTCCAACGTTTAGAAATTATAATCTGGAATAAGATCACTTTAGATCTTAAACTCTGAGATAAAATTTTTAAAAATCCGAACATTTTACTGGGTACGGTATGTTACTTATCAGTAGATGATTCTTTTTCTCAACATAATTAACCAATTGCAGTCCTTGGTTCTGTTTTAACCATGATTTCAATTAGTGCATTTTAACCTTAGAGGAGTTGATCTAGGTGTTGGATAATGCAAATGTCACCATCACTTAAACACATAATGGTATTTTAGGGTTTTGACATTTGTTAAAAATCTTTTTAGTGCTTTATTTTAAAGGATTGTGTACTGTGAATTATAAGACACTGAATTTATTGCATGTGAACATCTACCTTTATTCTCAATATTGGTTATATTTTTCGTATAATATTTAATTTTAATTAGTATACCAGTCCAAAGTACCTTGTGGCTAAAAAAAAAAAAAAAAGTTCTTGGGGCTGCAGGTGTTTCTGATTTTAGAAGTTTTTGGATTTTAGAAATGGAATATAGTACACGTACTGTGGTTATGTAACATTCAGAGAGGTATGGGGCAGCACCTTGTAATCACACACATTACTGTTTCTGTAGTAAAATGTCAGACTATTCGAACCAAGTGGGATAAATAAATACTATAAATAGCCTCATGTCATTTCACATCAGGTTTTGCTGCCAAATGAATAATGAAAAACTTGTTTTTTGTAGCCTTTTGGATTTTGGAATTGAAGTTAAGGGATAGTGAACCTTTATGGATAAAACTTATATGATGACAAGAACAGTTACAAGAAAAAACATTGTAAACCAAGCTAATTTCAAAGTCATGGGTTCTAAGAACAGTGTTACATAGAAGATACATTTTTTTAAAAGTATATTTTATTGATTTTTTACAGAGAGGAAGGGAGAGGGATAGAGAGCTAGAAACAACGATGAGAGAGAAACATCTATCAGCCGCCTCCTGCACATCTCCCCACTGGGGATGTGCCCGCAACCAAGGTACATGCCCTTGACCGGAATCGAACCTGGGACCCTTGAGTCCGCAGGCCGACGCTCTATCCACTGAGCCAAACCGGTCAGGGTGAAGATACATTTTTGTTTATTTCATATAATAATCTTATTCTAATATGTGCCAATGTGCATTTTTCCTTAAGTACTAAAAATTGCTTTTTTTTTTTGAGGATCTGTTTCTGATGATCCCTAATCATTTCTTTAAAATATATTTATTTTTATTAATCCTTATTTATTTTTGTTAATCCTTACCCTAGGATATTTTTCTCATTGCTTTTCAGAGAGGGTATAAAGAAGGTAAAGAGGGGAAGAGACAGAGAAAAAAACATCGATGTGAGAGGGACACTTTGATTGGTTGCCTCCCAAACAGACCCCAACCCAGGCCAGGGATGAAACCTGCAACCCAGGTACATACCCTTAACAGGGGATTGAACCCGAGACCCGTCAGTGCGTGGGCCAATGCTGAACCACTGAGCCATGCCAGCCAGGGCCAAAATTTACCTTTTAATACACTCAGTGGTCAGTGTTTTAGATGTTTCACTGATACCCTATTACCTCCACCACCTTTTTAGTTATTTAATATATTTTTATTGGCTTCAGAGAGGCAGGGAGAGGGAGAGAGAGACATCAATAATGAGAGAGAATCATCGATTGGCTGCCTCCTGCATGCCCACTACTGGGGACTGAGCCCACAACCCAGGTATGTGCCCTTGACTGGAATCGATCCTGGGACCCTTCAGTCCACAGGCCGATGCTCTATCCACTGAGCCAAACCAGCCAGGGCCCCACTTTTTAATGTTTTTATTGATTTAGGGAGAGAGAAAAACATCAATGTGAGAGAGAAATGTTGATCGGTTGCCTCTCCCACAGGTGCCTTTGATGGGTATCAAACCCCAAAACCTGGGCATGTGTCTTGACTAAGAATAGAACTATCGACCTTTCATTGCCTAGGACTACGCTCAACCAACGGAGCCACATTGGGCAGGGCTACCCCTCTTTTTAAAAAAGTAATTTATAGTGTCTTACGCTCCTCTTTGTATAGCAATTAAGAGAATTGCACCTTTTCATATAATTCAGAGAAATAGTTAGGTGAGGATATGTAGATTCACATTTGCAGAATTTAAAGCTGATGGTTCCCTTCAGGGTGGTATTTAGTATAAGTTATCACTGCTGGATGGTATTTATGTCAGAAATTTTTATTTTTGCCCTAGCTGGGTGGCTCAGTTGGTTGGAGCATTGTCCTGTACACCAGAAAGGTTGCAGGTCCGATTCCAGGTCTGGGCACATACCTAGGTTGTGGGTTCAATCCCTGGTTGGAATGCATATGGGAGGCAGCCCATCGATGTTTCTCTCACATCAATATTTCTCTCTCCCTTCCCCTCTCTCTCAAAAAAAAATTAATAAAACACAACCTTGTGTGAGGATTTAAAAAAAGAAAAAATTATTTTTAATTTATGAAGCTTCCATAATTTGCACATCTTGGAAAAGAGTTTTCTAAAATATGTTTAGAGTATTTTTATTTTAAGTATATGCTATATGAGAAATGTGAGTTGACTAGTCTTATGAATTTGGGTGATTTCTTTAAATGGCCAAGGACCTCTAAGAG